CTTGGTCTACCCTTTGCCCAAGGTGGGCACTTGTGCTCTCTGTTGTGTGAGTGCAAACGTTTCCATGCCTCTGTGCTTCAATATGCATTAGCTCCCCATGCTTCCAGAATCTCTGAAGCTCGAGTTCGTGACGCTTCCTCAGAGGATGGAAGGGAGACAACGCGCAGGCACAAAAGTTATCCGAAAGAGCACTAGATTGTCTTATCAGAACGGCAGCCGGAGACCCCGTACCGAAAACCACAAGGTGCAACATCTGTCCATAAGTTTGTTCATCTGGCTGTGGACTGATAGTCCGATACGAGCACAAACTAGGTGGGATTGCATCACTCCAAACTCGGCACACTTCTTCCTGAATATTACCGAAATGCTGCGGCTCCAGAGTGACGTCCTTAGCTACTATATTGCAGCTATGATGGGGTGCGAACCATACCTTGACAACTATAGGACGGTCATCAAAACAGAAGTCGTCACCCCTTTGTGCTCGACTGACTATAGGTCCCCTCTCAACAAAAGACGGTACTTGTGACCTATTATTGAGAACAAAATCGCCCAAAACCGTGCTGCCTGCGTCAACACCCTCGCAAAGATTTAAGATGGACCTATTCGAAACATCTAAGCTCCGCTTGGTGGACAGCTGGCAATGACCTTCTACGTCGTGTTCATCGACAATCGACAAGCATCTACCCTCACAAGGCCTAGAAGGGTATCCGCATCCATCAGAGGGGAGAAACAATGCCTCTGGTAGGGCACTCCCCTCTTCCACGCGAACAAGAACAGGATGATCATGTGATCCGTTGGCATGACTATCACAAGCACGCAAACGTCGCGATTCCTCTTGCTCACACATCAAAACGTTGGGGTCGGATCCCCAACTGCAGCTGGGCTCGGCATCGCACTGAACACCCCCCGGTGACCGGCACTGGTTGACCAGACTGGGTTCCTGACTGTTCTCTCTTTCGGGAAAATGTCCAAACGGCCCCTTGCCCAAGCCTCTACTCCCTGGGTCAGTCATATCTGCGTTCTTGATAGTATTGCTGATTCTACTGCTTTTGCAGACATGACAAGACTACACATTAGGAGATACCTAATCCTGACTCCTTTCACAGGACACTTCGAAGACGGAAATCTGTGCTTGCCCAATTTGCGACATGTCCCCATGCGATCGATTCTCAACCGAATGCTAGCCCTGACGCATGTTCCCGTCAATAGAACCATGATTGGAGTCCAAATCACATTCTTAGCCACATCCAGGTGGATATGCACACCCCCAGAGTGAATTAGCCTCAAGGTGAGCATTGCAGTGTAGAACCAAACTACTCCAAGCAGTGCACTCCACGAACGAAAAGCCCACTTCCTGACAAACCCCTTAAGGGTCATCGAGAAGGCTTTGGTGCTCCATATGCGCAGTGAGGTCGTCAAACAGACAACTAGCGCCACAATCGATATGCAATCGGCTACAACCTGTTTGTCGAGCGATATGCTTAATCTATCTATTACGAACCAACATTAGGCAGTTGGTAGCTTGCCACATGTTGCATGCTATTGAAACACATGAACCTGTACCATGAAGCAAAGCATCCCAGAGACTGCCGATTCCTGCTCCAATCAAGCTCGAAGTCGCCACTTGAAAAAAGGCGCCACTCAATGCTGTCAAGGAAAAAATCTGAATATCGAAAGGGGACTTGCTCATCCGAAGCTTATAAACCCCTTCCTCCTGCTGTTCGAACGGTGTCATCCCATGCGCTCCAGCGAGTTGGAAGCGTCCCTTCTGGGACTTCGCTCCCTTGAGGGGGTTCTCGACGGAATCTCCTCGTTCTCGATCTTGCGTTGGGCATTCTCGAGCATTTTGCTCCTCATTTGCCTTGCCTCCAATGAGGAATCGAATCCCCCTGCCACCAGTGAGAACGTTCCTGAAGGCTTCCTCGCAACTTGAGGTGAGGTTGCATTGAAGGGGAACTCCCCCATATTGGGTCCTCCCCCTGTCGAATATGCTTCCATTTTTTGCTGCAAAAATTGGATCTGAGCCTGGGAATCTGCTAACTGTCTTCGCAGCTCCGCTTCTCCCAACTTCTCGACACCCGAAGAGGTGTCCATTCCTTCTTGCTCTTTTGCAGCTATCTTGTTCAGCTCGTCTTGTGTCTCCGCAATCGCTCCCTCCAGTGTCTTGAGATCGCTCTTGTAGGCTGCCTCTTGTTGCTGATGGTGCTCCTTGACCTTTTGAAGAAAGACTTCCCAAGATGCTTTCTTCTCTCGAACCTTGTTCTTGAGCTTGTCCAACTTCGCTAAGAGCTTCTTCTTGGTGTTCAATGTCCTTTGTTCGCTCTTCAAATCGTCCAACGGACCTAACTGGAGGAGTTCCTTGAGCTGTCCTTCTGGCGTAATATCCTTGGAGTGGAGGAAATCCAAAACTTCTTGTTTCAGCTGATCCACTCCCTTGCCAGATGCAGAACCCGAGGAGGTAAGCATAGTAGATCCCAAGGCCTCGTAAGCCGGCAACTCGGGACCTTTGCTTTCGGAGGGCTTGCCTTTTCCCTCCTTCTTCTCCTTCTTCTTGGCGGGTGGCCACACATTCCATGCTTGCCAACTCGCCTGCTTTCCCTTTCCTTGAGACCATCCCATCCGTGAACCGTGATGGGATGCTAGTCGACCAACCGCAAGGGCAAGTCTTCTTCTCTGTCTCTTTGGCAGGTAGGTTGCTTCCTTCTTAGAATGCCAAAGCCGTCTTGCACGAGAACGCTTCGATCTCAGCTTCCGATGCCAGGACGGACTTGGTGCCCTCTTACCAAAGCTGCCAGCCGGCGTCCCTACCACCAACCAAGCGAGCAGAAATGGCGCACGGCACGTGAAAAGGCGGATCAAGATTAGATCCTGGGGCCCTAAACGTCAACGCAGCTACTGCGTCCTTTGAGCCCTGAAGCTGGAAAGTACAAAAAGACAATACAACAACTATACAACTAGAACTCTTGTTTCTCCTATCATTTTGCAGCATAAGCCTTGACTCCTGGTATTGGAGGATGTTTGATCGTCCGACTGCAGCTGTGGCCCCGTGAGGGGTTGTTTAGCGTTAAACTCATGGCAGAGCAGCTCACAGCAGTCAGAGGCGGGTAGTGCTGCAGGGTATCAGACCAAGATTGAAGAAATCCCTGGGAGCCGGCCTGGTAAACACAAACTGCCAGGCCAGGGTTTTGAATGTGATTATCCTATTTTCCTGCGTATGTGCAGGTGTGTTTCTTTGCAGTAAGGTGCAGTGTCTTCCTCGGTGCGTTTTCTCGATTCAGCATAGTTAAACAATTTCTCTCTTGGATCATCTTGGATCTAGAATGGAAATAGCTGGCCATGCTTGTTTTGCACCTGACAGGTTCAAATATGTCCAACGCTGTGGCAGATCGTCACGCAGATGCTTGCTTCAAACTCAAACATAGACATCGCGTTCGGTGAGAAGGGCAATTGACGTGTTCGGTCATTCAGCATCATTCCTTGCCCAAGTATCATGAATGTCTCCGCAGCTCACTCAGGACCTCTGGACAACATTTGCATCTTGGCAGGAGCTTCGCGGCCGGTCGCTCCCAAACTGCAGCAGTAGTTGCGGCCGGTCGTTCACATAAGATGCACAAGGATCAACTGATAGGAAGCTTTGCGGCATCCATGTCCGAACAAGAATCTTTGCCATTGATGGACAAAAGCCCGGATGTGGAGGGTGTACATTGTTCCGACTTTGAATCATCACATACAATAAGCATCCTAAGCTATAGTATACATAGATTTACCCTCTTTGCTGCGCTTGACTTGTGTTGAGTCCACAGCCGGTGAACAGTTTGTTTTCAAGTTCCTTCCCTCCAATCGCTTCCACACACCACTTTCTGGGTTTCTGGGAGAGATCTCACTGCTCAGTGGTTTTTGGACCGTATATCAGTGACCTTCTACCCATCACCGTTTAATTACACAGCTTTGGAGGTTCGACGGCACCAACCTGATAAGGTCGTAAACACGGTTCTGCAAAGGGTTCATATGGCTATGCGCATGGCATGTCCTGTACACCGCTAAAATACTCTACGGCACGCTGGACATGTTGGCACAATGCAAAGGGCTGGGCTGGGTCGGTCACACGGTCACGTGACTGCCAATAAGCAACAAGTCTCATGACACTGCTACAATGGACGGACCTCAAACAGCAAGAGTCTTCTCAAAAAGAGTCTTCTCACAAGCATCAGGCTTCAGCATTTTGATACATCTCATCATCTCATCGTTCTTTCTGGGCCTTCCTTTGGTCCATCGATCTTGAACACACGGCTCGGCCGCTGTGAAGCCATGAACCCATGACTGCGCCGCCGCCCGGGTACCATGGCTGGGGCCCGCCTCCGCCGGGCTACCCACCACATGTGGCTCCATATCCGCCCAGCCGGCCACCATATCATCGACCACCCGTGGTTTGGCTGACAGGGAAGACTTTTCGTGACCAGTTTTGGTCTTGGGCTTGTGTCAAAACATCAATGACACCCCCAAAGCTTGGTTTTGGTGGTGTCATTGATGTTTTTCCTGATTGGCAGTGGTGTGAGTAATGCTGGGGCGACCTTCATCCAGTTGTCTTCTTGGGGTGGAGCAGAGGTCAATATAGAGCCTGTTGTAGATGCCCTCCAAGAACATCATAGAATGTCCGATGCCCTTGTCCGGAAGTGGAACATGACTTTTGCAGATTTTATAAGACATGGTTTCTTTTTATCTCCTTTTTCCCCTGGAACCACACTTCTGTCTCTAAGGTAGGCCCATATGGTCCACCACCTCCAGCATATCCCTATCCGGGCTACCCGCCCCCTGGCTATGCTGCGCCCCGCTATCCACCTCCCCAGCGCTCAGTGGAGCGCGGCCCCACCAGCGATGCTCGGCCGCCCGAGCCGCGCTCCTTAAGCTATGCAGAAGAGAAGCCGGCGGCCTACCAAGCCTTTAAGACTCAAGCAGTGCGTGTCAGCTCGGCAGGAGCAGAGGTGAGCTTGTCCAATGGTATGTGCCAGGATCGACATGTGGAGGACTTCCTCCTGTGCTTCCAATGCTGGCTGGGAAGGACTTATGGAGATCCCTCTGCTGGGCCCTGGCGCCTGCGAAGGTTAGATCTCTCCCGGAATTCATTGAGTGATGCTCACATTGAACCAGCCCACCAACCTTTTTGCTCTTTTTTGGAGTTCGAGCATCAGTAGACTTTAGCATCAAAAATCGTCGACTTGTGCTCAGGATGAAAACATTTGCGCGGTGATGGATAGCATGAAGAGCTCTGATCTCCGGGTGGAGCGGATTTTGCTCGCGGGAAATCGCTTGAGACAGAACGGGCTGGCTGCGGTCACCGAATACATTTGGACCTTGGAATTCTCAAATTTGACCCAACAAATCCAATTACCGCTATAGAATCATACAAAAACTAAATAGTTGGAGGCTCCTCTGAAAACATATACTGTAGTAGTGGTAATTGGAATTTGCTGGAAAGAGATGTTTTGTCCCGCTCAAGACGAATCAGGACATGCCAACACCAGCAGTAATACCTTGTAGAGGAATATCCATTTGGTATCCAAGTCTGTATGTAGTGACATGTTCCTTTTTCAGAGCTCATCACATACCGACATGTCGATGGTGTGTCAGTGGTGCAAGAACATGTGAACAACGGACATCCTTCGTCCGTGTCATGTGTCACAAGAACGGAGACCTCCGATCGGTTGGGTCTCGAGGAATTGCCGAGATCCCTTGGTGGAATTGGATCTGTCGGACAATGAGATCCCAGGTGAACCCGGTGAATCGGATGGTCTCAGTGCTCTCTTGCGATGCTTCTACAACCACCCCAGCTATCCAGTCATGCAGGAGCCTCGCAAGGCCCTGCCCTTGCATTTGAGCATGGGAGGGAACTACATCAGGGATGCTCAGAGGCTTTTAGACGACATCATCGCGAAGGGTAGCAAAGATGGAAAGGCTTTGATACGGATTTGCCAAGGCCCCGAGTCTTACCTTCAGGACCACGAGGAGTTCCTCTCCGTCTATTTGCCCAACTTCTTGCAGCAGAAAAGTGCGGAGCGTCCTCCTCCCACCGCCTCCGCTCCGGCCATCACCCTGCGGAGCCGCTCTCGCCGCCGTCGCCGGTCACGCAAGGAGGCCGCGGCGGCCGCGCTGCCGGCGCCCGCGGTCGCGCCG